GGCCAGAATTAGGCATTTGTGACCGGCCTTAGGAAATATAGGAACATTCCGTTTTCTCCCCCTATCTTCAGGATGTGAAAGTTTGCTGTTAAGAGTCATGACTGAGCAGAAAAAACCTCCCTCTGCCACATTCATTAAAATATGAGACCTAAAATAGCCAACATTCATATCCAGCAGAATTTCTAGCAGTCTGATCTTGGACATGGATCAAAAATAGATGTTCATGCCGATATTATTTAAAACTGCACATTCTATGAAGAAATATGCATAGAAAATATGAAGAAATATGCAGGCTTCAGTATGTATTCTTAGACAATTTCCTGAAAAATAATGTGGTCATCTTAATGTTGTATCCATGTAGTTATTCATTCAACAAACATTTGAACACTTGCTTGGAGCCAGACATTTTGCTGGATACTAAGAATACAGATACGGTCCCTCCCTCAAAGACCTTACACACTTGTAGGAAGAAACAGAAGCGTCAACAGGTGCAGAAGCATGCTCTGGACCACAGTGGAAGCCTGCACAGGGTAGAGAGTAGACAGATGAAACCAGTAACTGGGCAGGGGGACAGGAGAACAAAGCATTTCCAGAAGAGTTTGGAGGAGTTAAGTGTAGACTTGAACTGAACCATGTGAATCATTATGGCTGGACCACAGGAAATATGGGGGTCAGGCCACAGAGATGAGCCACCAAGGTCATTTTTAAGATAAATCATAGATGGCTTTCCTACCAAGCAAAGTTTGTTAGAATTTGTTGTGATGATCCACCAAAAGATAATCTTTCAGAAGGACATTATTAGTTTCATATTTTGGCAAGCCTGTCTGCTTTGAGATTTGAAGAAGATGGTTGACAAAGGGAAAATTGGGATCCTGAAGACCAGTAAAGAGATTGTTGCACTAATCAAGGCAGGAGATGAGAAGATGAGAAAATTAGAAGTAGGGCAACAGCAGTGGTGCTGAAGAGGAAGGGACGTGTTAAGAAGGACATTAAGGATACAAAATACGCTGAGCGATGGGTATTAGAAAGGACATTTGTTATGATGAGCACTGGGTGTTTTATGTAAGCAATGATCAACGAATTCTGCTCCAGAAACCAATTTTGCACTGTATGTTAGCTACTGTATGTTAAATTTAAATTTAAATTAAAAAAAATACACAGGTCTTGATTACTAATCGGATATAGGAACTAAAGGCCAGGCCTGTGGTATAATCACTGGGTACTGATATATAGTGATCTAGTGGACAATCTGTTTTCACTCCCATGGTGGGAATACAAGAGAAGGAGGCTTATTTAACAAGTTGATGAATTCAGTGCTTATCAATTATATCAAAAAAGAGAGCTCTTGCTAGAATTACATTTGAGTCAACTGGTACTTAATCTTAGAATCATTATGACATTTAATAACAACATTGAGTGTTGATTCTCCTATGTGCTTCTTCATTTTAACAAACTAAGTATGACTTAATAGCCAACATGCATAATCTCTAAGTGTATAATAAAGAAGCATTTGAATTGATGAGGTAGAGTACTCATTTGTATTTGTAAATGTAATAATTTCTTAAGTGAGCGTGTCTTGGACTAGTTAGAAATAATGACAGTGCTTAGTGGCACCTATCAAGATGTAGAGCCTTTCGGTCTTTCTGTTTTTATTATTAGTAGGCCACATAAATTAAGAGTTAGGCTACAGTCTAGCTGTGTAGCAATGCAACGTTGTCCAGCTTTCAATATATATTATAAGCACATTAAATATTTTCACAGCATCAATTCATTTTTCAGCTCTCTGAATATAATAGTTTTCTTCAGTCTCTTGACTTTTTCATAGTGTAACTGAATTTTTCAAAATTCTAATTGTAGAAACATAATTCATCTAAGATACAGAGTAACGCATTTGTCATTTGCAAGGCTTTTTTCTACCTTAAATACTCTCTGCATTTCTAGGTCTTAAAAGATGCTGATATACTGCTGATAGGTTGGGCGACTGTATGAATGGCTCGGTGGATAGATAATAATTTATGGTAATGTAAATTGTGGGGTGATGGTAATATAGTCTATAGAGGTTAAAAGGGGCTCTTGTTCTGTTGTCTGATAACTAGATGACTTTACCACATGTCCCCAAATTCTCTGTTCCTCAGCTTTCTTATTGATAAGATTAAAAAAAAAATAGTGCTTCTCTGATAGAATTTTTGTGATGGTTAAATGAGAGAATGCATATAAAGAACTTAGTCCCATGCTTGACACTCCAAAAATGCCGGCAAGGAGGAGGAGGAAGGGCGAGCTCTTAAGTGGAGAGCCAATAAATTCAGATATGGGCATATTTTTTAATTTGCTTACCACAATGATTGAGGTGGTTTGAGTGAGAATATTTCATCCTTATTGTTCAGTATCTTATTTAGGTGACATTTGGCAAAAGGAACTGAACTGCATGATCTATACAGTACATTCTAGCTCTGTGATTGAATCTCCAGGAATAAATAAAGCTCCTTTCAGTGTGCTAATGAAAACATCATTAAGAGGAGGGCACGTATTGCATGGAGCACTGGGTATGGTGCATAAACAATGAATCTTGGAACACTGAAAAAAAAACAAAAGAAAAGAAGAGAAAATAAAAGAAAGTACTCCAAGAAAAGAGAACAGGTTATTTGTGTTTAAAGGCCCTGAAATAATAAAAACATAAAATGATTTAAAAAAAGATAACATTAGTCTCCTAAATAAGACATTTATCTTTAATTATGATTATCATTCCCACTTTAATAGGAAATCTTTTAGCATATAGATAAGCCAGAAAAAAATGATATAACCACAAAAAATACTAAACTAGAGTAACTAGAATTAGAAAAGAAGAAGTGTTGTCTTTTCCTCTGTATTTAAAATGGTTCCCTACCCTACTTCTATGTGTCTGTAGTTTTCCAGCTTCTCACAAATTTCAGAATCCATTAAAACAATATTAATGCCACTGTGGTAAGCATCATACACTTTGCCCAAGTTTTAAAACACTGTTTAGCTTTTGGGCTATTTTTGCCCTAAAGAAGATTACGTGGAGCAAGTGGCATTTAGCTGCGTGTTTTATGAGGCATTACTTTGAAATTTCTAGTGACTAGATTTCGTATAGAAGCATATACAGCAATTCCGAGTCATAAAAGTGAATGGGATCCCTGAGAGACTTTTCCCCATCTTCCGCCTCTGCTACCTTAATCCAGGTCACCGTCACCGTCATCATCATCCTCATCATCCTTTACCTGGTCTATTGCCATCAAGCACTGAGCACGAACCATCTCCTGGGCTTACGCCCTTGGTCACCTACTCCATTTTCCACACAGCAGCAAGAAATAATTTATATCATGGCACTCCTGTGCTTAATAATACTAAACATAATGATGCTTCCCTTTGTACTCAGTAAAACCCCATACTTCTCACCATGTCCTACTCTCTGGACATAATCTTGGACTGTTCTCTCCCCTCTCTCACTCTACTCCTGCCACACTGGCTTTCTCGTCCTTCTGGAAGTACACCAGCTTGTTCCCTGCCTGGAACTTTCGTACTAGCTATTTCCTCTGCTTGGAGATCTTTCCTCCAAATCGCCTGTGAATGGCTACCCTGTCACTTAGGCTCAATTAAAATACCATCTCTTCAGAAATACCTTTCCCAGCCATGATGTATATTTTTACATGAACCTGTTCTCACTTTGAGAGTCCAAAAAAATTACAGCTGGGTTTAAGATATGTTCACTTGAGAAACAAATATGTACTATCATCTAAAAAGTTACAAATGACTTATTGAATATTACTTAACATTACTTAGTGTTTTCCTACAGATTCTCTATTCTTTCATGGTACAGCTTAGACACATACTGACTGTCTTGGTCTGTTCAGTCTGTTATAACACAATACTAGAGACTGGGTAGCTTATAAACTACAAGTTTATTTCTCACAGTTCTGGAGGCTGAAAAGTCCAACATCAAGGTGCCCACAGATTTGGTATCTGGTGAGAGCTTGTTTCACAGATGGCCGTCTTCTTACTGGGTGCTCACATGGTGAAAGGGTGCGGGATCTCTCTGAGATCTCTTTTATGAGAGCACTAATCCTGTTCATGAGGACTCTGCCCCCATGACCTAATTTCCCTTCAAGGGCCCCACCATCACATTGGATGTTGGAATTTCAACATATAAATTTGGCAGGGGGGTGGGTGGGTGTGACACAGTCTATAGCTAGCACTGAATTTTTTCTAATGAAATTGCATCCTGGGCATAGAAAGCACCCACTTTCTGGTATAAGGAGGTGCACCTTAACTATTACCTACCTATTTGATAGTCCTATCCCAATAGCACAAATTCCAAGACTTCCACAACTGCTTTAGGTAGGATGTCCCACAGTGTATTTCATTAAAGACAAATGGACACCCAAAAAATGCATATGATATGCTGTTTTGAAAGATACATGTAGAAAATTGGAAGACTAACAAGAAAATCTACAAATAACTGAAAAGTTCATGAATCTGAATAGGTAGTCCCAAAGCCACAGTCATCCTGCTGCTGCATTAAATAAGTGTATCTCTTAGAATTCATCAAGCTTAGCTCTTAGAATTGAATGGGTTTAGCTCTCCCGTGACATACCATCTAGCCCAGGGATTGTAACTCTCTTTATTACTCTATTTACATGTGTCAAGACCTTCAGGGTATCCAGCAGCTCCGTTGAGTCTCTAGCAAGTGGTCATGTGCCTCATGTGTTAAACCTCTTAGAAAGTAAAGACATCCCACCTGCCAGGAAGATTTTGTAGAGATATAATCTGTTTGCATGTTGACAGCCATACCTAGGAGGTTAATTTTACTTCTTGATAAGCTTTCATGATATATTCAACATGAGGAGCAAGACCCGATATCATCTGTATTTTATACCCATTCTTCTGTGTCAAACTCTTTCAGGAAACGTGTTTTCACCCCTGTTTCCCAAATGCCTGATATGATCCCTCTGACGAACACTGTTTCTGCTTGACTATTTCAGCACTTTTGTGTAATGGAAAATTTCACAAACATTTGCAAGAAATCTTTGTGCCCTTGGTTGTCCGCTACGTCGATCTCATGGAGTCCTCCATCGCCCAGTCAATTCACAGAGGTTTTGAGCAAGAGACATGGCAGCCTGTCAAGTAGGTATCTTGCCTAGTGTCCATAGAACATCTGTCTCTTCAGTCCTGACCTTATGACTTTACACATGGCCATCTGTAGTTATTGCTTATGGTGGTCCCTTCCCACGTTGTTTGTTTCTTTACAGGAATATCGCCAACAGTCTTCCCAATGTAGCTCTTCCAAAAGTTCCAAGTCTGCCTCTTAATCTTCCACAGATTCCTAGCTTTTCTACTCCTTCGTGGATGGCTCCTTTATATGAGTCCACGTGTGTATCCCTCACTTATTTCCTGGTGGTGTGTTAGCTAGTGCATGGCCTGGGCTGTGTTCTGTGCACATGTGTTCAGATTGCATGCCATTTATCATCATTGGTTGAGGAATCCTATGTTTTAGTGTTGTGTGAGTTTTTTAAGCTATAAAGCTAAGCTGAGCAAATTGATGATAAATGATACAGATAAAACAAAAACAAAAACAAAATAACCCCACTCACTGGTTTGATGTAGTTCATATGTGATCTGCAGGTGAGAGGTCATTTTGTGACCCAGGTTGTAGACTCAAGCCTAAACAATATACCATGGTTCAGGCGATCGCTGTGGTAACAGTATGTCTAGGAACCGTAGTTGGCTTCAGCTTTGTTACTACCCGCATAGTTTCTCTTGTACACGTAGAAAACCATCATTAAGAATCATGTCAAGGATATGTTTTTCTATTTTATCTTAGTCGTACTTTTTTTTAATTTATTTATATGACAGAGATCACAAGCAGGCAGAGAGGCAGGCAGAGAGAGAGGAAGGGAGGGTAGCAGGCTCCCTGCTGAGCAGAGAGCCCGATGCAGGGCTCTATCCCAGGACCCTGGGATCATGACCTGAGCTGAAGGCAGAGGCTCTAACCCACTGAGCCACCCCGGCACCCCCTTAGTCGTACTTTTAAATAATATTTCAGGTTCCAGAGAAGTAATTGTCCTTTATTTCCTAACACCAGCAAGTTCCTCTGTTGTCCTTTCATCTATCAGTTGATGTACTTTGTTATTTTTAAATAATCTTTATATCATAAAATCCATACCTGTTAGTTCCACCCTGTGATTCAGCCCACCTATTGCAGATTCAGTAACTAAGAGTCGCTAGAACAAAAAGGACACAGGCTTTCAAATTCAAATTTAGGTCCTAGTTTAGTAATCATTAAATCTTCCTTAGCCTCAGTTTCCCCAGTGCTAAAAAGGTTATGACACCTAATTTAAAGACATTCTTGTGAGGATAAAGAAGAAAAAAAGTAATGGAAAGTGCCTGGCACATCCCAGGCTCTCAATAAATAAAAACTACTCCTATGCTACATTATGATTTTTATCATTATTACATCATCAATCATCATTATTCCTAACTGTATAGTTTTCAAATGTATGAGCCTCAGAGCAATCAAATGAACTCAATAATAGTCCATGCTTTGCCCAAGGTCTCATATGACATCAGCTAGGAAAAATAATAATTAGAAGAAGAAAAATAGCTACCACTCATTAAGCACTTACTATATTCCAGGTTAAGGGCCAAATCCTTTATCTCAGTTAAGCCTCACGACAACCCTGGTAGGTAAATGTCATTGTCCCCATTTTACAATTAAGGAAACTAAGTCATAAAGAACTTAAGAAACAGAACCTGCCCGAGGTCCTACAGTAAGTCAGTGACAGAGGCAAGCTTTGAACCCAGGTTTGGGGGACTGTAAAGCTCTCACTACTTATTCATGTATTCAGCTTCCAGAGAATATACTGGCTAAGAACTTGCCCAGCATCCTTTCTGCCTGTCCTCCCACTACTGGTAAATCTGCTCCCAGTCAAGGCTACATACCCTCAAGAAAAAAGAGACCAAGAATAACTTGCGAAATAGCTTAGCGAGATCTCTCCAAGTTAAACATCATCACTGTGCCCACAGTAGTTACCGGGAGGTTAGGTTACATGTGAATCTCTTTCTTTCAGGCAAATGCTTTGGGCAGTTTTAGTGTATAGAGTCATGTTCTGTGTGTGTTTGGCAGTTATCTGGGAAGTATAATGTATCTTTCTAAGTTTATGTGTTTTTGTGCTCCTTAACACTGTTTTATAATTTAATTCCTCTCCTTCTTCATTCCTCATCTGTTTAACACCCTTGATTTTAACCAGAAACATTATTGGGGGCATTACCTTGTGATCTTTAGATTTTTGGGGGGTCATTTTTTGGCTTTGAGGTATGTGTGAAGCCTGAATCTTATTTGTTGGGAGCCCTATCTTAAAATGACCCGCATCTCAGGACAGGAATCGTGACAGAGTATGGCTTTGTAAATAAAGTGCTCATACGTTCATCATTCTGAGTAAATAAAAAACATGTTTTACAAATTAATCACTGTTATCTTTACCTGCTAAGATTATCAACATTAGGCTCTTCATCAGGGTGCTCAAAATTACTTATAGTGCTATGATGTAATCACTAGTTTTTTGGGGTTCTGAGTGGGTTTTTTTTTTTGCTAAAGATTTTATTTTTATTATTTTTAAGTAATCTCTAACCCCAATGCAAGGCTTGAACCCATAACCCCAAGATCAGGGGTCTCCTGCTCCACTGGCTGAACCAGCCAGGCATCCTTAGTTTTTTGAACTTTTGTTATAAAGCATTAAATTGCAAAACATAAATAAATAAATAAATAGTCTGTTTCATATGTAAGGAATTAAAAATAGAACATAACCACGGCTTTAAAGGTAAATTCCTACCTATATATCAGTATCACCTTACGAGGTGCTTCTCCATTTCTTCCCTCACAGTTTTTTGTTTTTTGTTATTTTTGTTCTTTAGCTCTAAAAGTAGATATCAATAAGATAACTTTCCTACTGGCATTTTAGGAAGTTATCTCAGGATCCATTATTCACATTTGAGTTCTTTAATCTGTTAATAATACTTTCTGCATAGGTCAGTGATTAAAAGTAATTTTAAAGATGAAAATTTCTGAGTAAATTGAAAGTTATAAATTCCAGCTCAACAGAAAACCTATTTACTTTTTTTATCCATTTAATTATAACAAACACTTATTACCTTAATTACATTCCTAATTAAGCACATTTATCATTCCATAGCATCCAAAAACAAAAGAAACATATATCCATTCTCTCTGTGAAGACTTAATGGTCATGTTACAAAAGCCCATTTTCAATCAAATTCCATCTTCACTATTTCAGGTTTATGTTCTGATGATGGTTTTTATTGTTTTGTTATGTTATTAAGAATACATACCTGCTTCAAATAGCGACCTTCTCCTTCTCCAAAATAAAAAATTATTAGTAGATTTGCTTTTTTAACTAATTAGGTTCAGTTACTCTTAAAATATAGGTTCTCTAATTTACCACATTGAACACTATGGACATATAAGAGGATTTTGCCTGGACATTTTTTTCCCTCTGATTTTTATTATATATGTGGCAAAAGGGAAAAATAAATGTGTTTTTTTCTGACATTTTACAGCAGCGTCAACATGGTATTGACTATTTCCTTTGTTTAATGGTACCTTGGGGGCACTGATTTTTAAAGTTACGAGATACGAGTAAGGAGCTGTGGATGGTCCTTTGAGAAGTGGACTCTGAGCACATCTTGGCTAGGCAAGGAGACCATGAGGAGTTACTGGCAGAATGGGAGGAGGAATACAAAGGAGGTTGGTGATGCAGGAAAGATACTGAGGTGTAGAGGTGGGGGAGGGAAGTACACATTTAATTAGCCAGGGAAGGAGCTGTTTTTTAAGCCACTAATCAAGATATATTTGGCTAAACAAAGTAGGTATTTAAAGAATTTTTTTTAAAAGAATTTTATTTTTATGAAAGTTTTCCACTGTGCTCTCGTGATAAATTATTTAATCTATTTTTTCTTTTGCATACTAACAATACAATTTTTAGGTTAGTCTATGCTAAGCACTTACAGGCAAGCTGAGGAGAACTGAATCACACAGCCCCTTTTTCTCCTTTTGTTCTCTTTTACTATTAAGTTTCAGTGTGTTTGAACATAGGATTATTTTACTTTCAAAACTTCTGTTTCCCTATTAGGCTCTCTACTTGCATAATGGAAAGCAGTAGTTATTATCCTCTGCCCAAATATTATATGTATCTTGCTACAAATTACCTTCACGCACGGTATGAAACTTTAGTCCCCTAGAGTGATTTTGCCACAGGCCCCTAGCTAGACAGATGGAATGACCTGAAATATATGACCGTGTTCCGGCTTCCGAGCACCCTGGATATCATTTCCTTGCTAGGCTGTGTGTTGTACTATTCGGTTTCCTTACGAGCTAGAAAAGTCACGAAGCATTTCAAAGTGGGCCTGAGATTTGCTTCCCTCCTCAGCTTGTTACTCCACTTCCCCTGTCCTTGAGAGATCTGAGATCTGTACAGTTTTCAGTCTGCAGATGGACAGAAGGTGCTGTGAGGACAGAGGCACGTGTGTGCACGAAGGAGTGAATCTCCTGGTGGCAGTCAGATGGACTTTCTTACGTAAAACACACTCTTTGAATTTCCAGGAAGAAATACTTCTGTATTTATCTGTATCCTATAGATTGGTAAAAAGCATTTAACATGTTTGTTCTTCTGTGTACAATTTGATTTCTTTTCCTTAGTCAAGTACCCTTCTACATTCTACCCCTTTTATGAAACCTTACTATATTCATTTCTATTTGCTTTTTTTTTTTTTTTGCCTCACCGTGTATTCATTAAGAAGTGAAAAGGAAGAGATTCAGAAGGTTGAATAAAGAAATGGCCAATTATTAGAGATTTTATGTGATATTTTTTCATTAATGGCAATTGATACAGAAAGGCAAAAAACAGTGTGTTGGCGATCGTCACAGCGAACAGTGGAAGTTCACGATGTTCTTCATGTTTCCTTTTTCTTCTAGCAATGGCTCAGCAACATCAGAAGACCTTTTTTGGAAACTCGATGCCCTGCAAATGTTTGTCTTTGATCTGCACTGGCCAGAACAAGAATTTGCCCACCACTTAGAGCAAAGACTTAAACTAATGGCCAGTGATATGATAGAGGCCTGTGTCAAAAGGTAGACCTGTGTTTTCACGTTGCTGCTTTGTACACCAGCACCCAGAGGAGCACTTTTCGCCGAGTACCTGTTATTTAGTTGTCGCAAGGGAAGGTTTCGATATGTACTACCACTGCACAATTTAATGAACATTGGGTTCTCAGACCTAAATCCTGGGGCCTCCTGTAACTGATAAAATTGGCATGAAACTTTTTTAAACACACCTTCTCACATTGCATTCATCAGTAACATCCATACTATATTAATCATTTCTGTGGTGCTTATGGTTGTCTCTCTGGGAATACTGTGCTTTCAATTCCCGAGGCAGTACTTGCTGAGTTATATGGAAAAGATCTGTTAAATACTTGATGCATTATGCGCAGTGTCTGCTGTGAAATGGCATGGCAAACCCGGATTATGAACCGCGCCATCAATGGTTCTGTTTTCTGGTATTCCCTTCGCACATCGAATGAGCTCCAACTATCCAGTTATAGTCTTCAGAACTGAACCAGAAATAAGTTATGAGGCTTTGAATTTCTCCAAAAGTGCTTTCATTTTCTTTAATAGTTCTTAGAAAATCAGCACTGAATCTCTAATTAGCCAAGCAGTGTTTTTCCCATTGCCCTCGTTCATGATAGGTACAGAATGATGTGGGCAGCGTATTGGAATAAACATTGCTTGGAGCAACTGAATAATCCTGAATTCTTCAAAATTAAGAAAAATCCTGTCTTTTTAATGGCTTCCTAAAGCAAGGCCACCAATTAGATTTCTAATGTTTTAAAAATATCATTATTGTCATATGCGATTCTAATGTCTCAAATCCGTGGGTGTTCTTTGGCTACTTTCACAAAAACAATTGCAACACACTTTCTTTCAAACACCTACCTACAACTTTGGGTATTTGAAAGAAAACCTAAGGGACACAAAAGAATTATACATTCTCTATTGTACATTAATTATGTTTTAGAGTTTTCCAGACTTGTACTTTCTTTAAAATTTGGTAAACCCTTGTTCAGATTTATTCTGCTTTAATGCGGAAAAACAAGTGTTTTTTGTTTTTTGTTTTTTTTAAGATTTTATTTATTTATTTGACAGAGAGATCACAAGTAGGCAGAGAGGCAGGCAGAGAGAAAGGGGGAAGCAGGCTCCCTGCTGAGCAGAGAGCCCAGGACTCCTGGATCATGACCTGATCCAAGGCAGAGGCTTTAACCCACTGAGCCTCCCAGGCGCCCCGCAAGTGGTTTTTATACTTGGAAATTAATTCAGGCAGTTAAGTAAAACTAAGAGATGTTTCCGTAAAAATTTTTACACTAGCTCTAATGAATAGCTTCCTTTGGGTAGAGATACTGTCTGCATGACTGCAAAAGCTGTTTAATATAAAATAGCTCCCTGATCTTTTACATGAGACACCTGAGACAAGAAGAGCATCCCAGCCCCTCGCTCCCAAGCAATGCCACACTCCTTATTTGCATGTGTTAAATCAGCATCTTGTAGTGTTGATTTCACGTTTACTAAACAGGTGAGACGTTATTTCCGAATTTCTTACTCCAAATTCGTGTTTTAATGACTAGAACAAGAACTGCGTTCCAAGCCAAGCTGCAAAAGGCAAGCAAAACCACCGAGTTGCGCATCCCGGCTTCCGTGTGTACAATGTTTAATGTATTAGTCGATGCCAAAAAGCAAAGCACCAAGCTTTGTGCCCTGGATGGAGGACAAGAGGTGAGTGAACTAAGTGTCAGGTACGGATAGGTACCCTGACAGAGGAGGGTGCTGGAGGCCGATTGCGGAAGTCTCTCGCTTGATTAGATGAAAAGATCCAAGTCCTTCGATAGAGGTGTTTGAGCTTTTCTTGACTGTAATAATGGAAGGCCCTTTATCCCTTGGCTCATGTCAGTTTCTTCTGTCTTATATGAAGACTGCCCTAAATTTTACAAGTGTCCATTGAGGCTTTTAACAGCTTAGGTGTTGTGTATTTACATAAACCTCGCTTTCACAAGCAAATAAGAAAGCTGGAAAGCTACCTGCTTTGTTTAGACAAATCTAGAGTACCCGGAGTTTGCATTCAAAACACAAGGCACAGAAAATAGCACATGAAATATTTTTATTTACACAAAAGTTTCCGTGTTTTAAAGATCAAGTAGAAATGTACTAAAAAGAATTACTTGTTTTTTTTTAAATAAATGTCCCATTTTTTTTTTACTTTGATTCATGTTTTGTTCAGTTCTATATTCAGAAACACAGCTTACTTTACCCCATGATTTATTTTTGTTAAGAGTGTTGATTGGGTGAAAGTGGATCAATTTTTCTTAGATTATCTGTTTAAGTTGACATTTTGTTCATTGTAATTACTGTTTCATCATTTCTTTACTCTTCCCCTATGTTCATCGTCCTTTTTTTTTTCTCCATGGCATGATCCAGTTTGGTAGTCAATGGGTAAGTCTTTTTTTTTTTTTTTTTGTAAAAACACACTTTTATTTGATTTATTATTTGTGTAAATGTGCCCTTTTTATTTTCATCTTTTCAAATTAATATAATTAATTCCATTTTCAGATTTATGTTTTCCATGTATGTATATAACACTAATAGCTTATTATAGCATAGCAATACCCAGAGATACATTAAAACACGTATAAAAAAAAACACGTATAAATACTTATGCCCTAAATAATGCCAGGGAAATGTTTCTTCCCTGTTAGGCTGCAGGATCTGCAAACTGCTCTTAGATTTTTTTTAAGGATAAAATTATTTAAAACAAAATGAACTCACCTTCCTTTAAACAAATTCAGAAGCAGTATGATTATTAATATTTTCAAGATGCATATACCTATAGTATATACTTTCAACAATACTAGAAAAATTTGGAGCTCTGGATGGCAAATATATACTATTTGGGTACCTCTAAATGTGAGGACCAGGAGACCATTCCTAAGGCCACTTCATGCAGAAGTCCCCAGTTGTGGATCTCAATAAGGTACATGCCCACCAGTGATACACTCTTTCTTCCCATTCGTGGCCTGGGATGTAATCATTCTCAGAGATGGGGAAGAGGCAGACCTTTATGTCAGGAGCCTTTCTTCTCCTGAGAGAACAAAATTGTCTTGAATTACCACCCAGAACCTCAGAGGAACGTGATATGAAAAATTTTATGCATATTAAATAAACTGGATATTATATATACTTACCTGTCTTATATATGTGTTTTGATATGTTATAATGTTTTTGTGCTCTATGGATATGTTAAATCTTATAAGTCTTATAGTAAGACACTGTAAGACACTCAGGGTGACTCTACTGGGCTGACAACTCTCATCCAAGCAGAAGGGCTAGGTAGCTCTGAAAGAGGGTAAGAGGCCCATTATTTGTGAATGTCATACTTCTCTAACCAGATGTAGACATTAGCTATTTGGCCATAATTTATGCAAATGCACACATATTTCATTCTTTGAGCAATTCAAGGGGAAAAGATGTATTTCTAATACCGTAGCATACAACCTTACATATATATTAAGTAACTGATACGTGTTATAGAATGTTCAATAATTATCATTCTGTGAATGCCTACAACATGATTTATTGCCTCTAGTCATCTGAAGAGGCAGCTGGCTTGGATATCAATGGCTCATCTCTCTCCCTTTTCATGTTTTTCAATATCCAGATGTAAGTCTTTGATGGTCTACTCAGAAATATTGTCTTAAGTCTCTCCATAAATCCATCCATTTCTTATCAGGTTTATAAGATCATCTTTGCCTCTTCCCATTGATACTGGATTTATCCATCTATTTTAACATACATGGCAGTACCTGACACATAATATGCACTTAGTAAGTAGTGCTTGAATGACCAGACTGATTTCTTGTCACCACTTTAAAAATCCTCCCCTGTAAGAAACAACTCTCGATAGTACCTCAAAAGAAAAACAGGCACACACACACGACAAAACATTGTTGCATTGTCAAATGGTTTTTTATATTAATAGGTAAATGGCTTTGAAAAGTAATCTGCTACTATTCATTATATTCACACCTGTACCTTCTCACCAGAGACAATTAGTTCCCCACAACTTTCACACAATTAATATAATTCAAAATGTGCAGGTGTAAAACCCATTAGCAACTGTGAAAAGTGGTTAGCAAGAATTTCAGTGCAAAAGAAGGACTTTATACTTTGCTTTTAATCACCAATAAATACGCCCACATAACTGCACAGGCTTTCCCTCTCTGTGCTTGAGATAAGTTTTGGAATTGAGGCAAATTAGCAAATATATTACATGCAGAGATGAGCCAGTGACCTCATCCTGTAGTAAGCAACAAATTAAAAACTAGATTATTACACAATTTGGAACCTTGTAAAATATATGCTTCTATAGATAAACCCAGTAGGGATAGTTTTCTGAATTTTATGGAATTCTCTCTCCAACGTCTTCAGTAAATTTGTTACATGTCATTGCTGAGATGAAGCCTTCTCAACTCCTTTTCCACAAGGCAGCCCCTTCTGTGCTCCTGAGTTAAGATTCTGTTTTCTCACATGGCACCTGAGGAAAATGTGCTCAACCGCAGCCCGGAATGGTATTTAATGGAGTCATTAGTGAGCGAATGATCTGCTTGTGTGCCAGCTGTGTGTAATGAGTCAGCAGTCTCAGGCCAGTTCCTCAGGGACAGATGTTGGGACCACAAAACCACCCATGTTTAGAAATCATTGTTCTCTCCCAACTGCATGGGTCTCACTTAGATGCCCCCACACCCAATGGCCCATCCATTGAGGATGGAAGTACGTTAATGGGGGCTCCTTGTGTAGGATTTGTTCTCACCTACAGTAGAATGCTTCCATTTCCAGAACTGACAATCCAGTACCTTTAAAGTTCTTCCCAAGAGAAGGACCAAAATCTTTTAAGAATGCTGGATTGTACTGGCATCTGGCCAGCCTTCGTTTCTGGAGTGTTTACATTAGCAACAGTCAGGGGAGATGAGGATAAGTACATGAGTGTAGGGGCACCAGGATTTCAGACCCGTGTTTGATCTCTGAATTCCCTGGACTCCATGAAGTGCAAACTCCTTAAAGGTTAATCGTGATCTAAAGTCAGCATCCGCTGCTGGAGGAGCACATACACTTTACTTTTGGGGGCAGATGTAGGAAGAATTAGTCAAAGAAATGGGCTGTGATTTGCCAAAGCCCTGGTATGTAGGATTATCAACCTGGCTTGAAATATTCTGATAGAAATTTTATGGGTTTTTATCAGACAAAAAACCTTTGCAGATTTTTATCAAAAATTAGATCTGTTAATCTAAATAAAATATACCAATTTCAGGTAAGGTAATGTAAATATCTATGCAAATAAAGTCTTTTCTTCTCTGATCTCTTTTGGTGTGTCTGTGTTTGTCTTTGGAAGCTATAACTTGTTCTAGCTAACCTTCTATCATCTCTGTGTGGCATATGTGAGCTGTTCTCTTTGCAGAATGTACGTATGAAATATGAATTCTGAGGCTAGCTGGCCACTCCCACCCACAGTGCTTCCAGACCATCTCCACTGACTGTGCAGCTAGGACAGATTCTGGAAGTTCTGGGCAATTTTAACATTAGTGAAAGTCCCAGCAAATCAGATAAGTCAACAACAGTAAAATCTCATATTGTAAAAACCTAACAAACCTTATGCTATTTGGGTTTGCCCCTTGGGTGGTGCATTTAGTATACTTTTCTACCTTTTTAATTTTTTGCATTTCTCTCTCTATCCCTTTCCTCCTCTTTCCCTGTTCCCCTCTCCACTCCCTCCCTCCCTCCTTCTCTTCTCACTGCTTTTGGCCAGATCAGGCGTCAAAGAAAACAGCAGTCTAAAGGTGTATATTATAGGAAAATGTGATGGTTCCTGGGGTCCATGCCTTTCCCTGCCTTTTGTTAAAAAGGGTCGAAGGAACCTCTTCAGTGGCTCATCTCTTGATTTTAGGATATGTCCAAATTGATCCAGTCCAAAAGTTTAAAATGTAGAAGCTCTACAGTTTTATATCCAATAGGCTTTTGATGACATTTGATTACTCTCGAGTTAAAAAATGAACATAGGGCAGGGCCACCCGGCTGGCTCTGTCAGCAGAGCATGCAACTCTTGATCTTGATCTTGATCTAAGTTTGAGCCCCATATTGAGTCCAGAGATTACTTAAAAATAAAATCTTTTAAGAAATGAAACCTATGGCAAATACAGATAAACACTGAACATATCGAGTACATATTTAAGAACATGGAATCGCTCAGAGGTCTGGGCACCTTGATCCGTGTATGTTCTGTAGCACTTTCCATGGAAGAGGGAAGTGAGAAGCTTGGAGCCCATCACCTCTATTCTACCCCAAAGAGGAGCCTCAGTCTGGTATTTTACTTCCTCCTGCTGCACAGACACAGATTTGGAGAGAGAAGTGTATGAAGAGAGAGGAGCAGGGAGGGCGAGGTGGGCAGACCTCATTTGCATAAGCTCCTCATACCAGGTCAGTTGTAGAACTGGCTGGAGCCCGGGACTTCTGGTACCTTTGTCTGGAGGACGCTTCCCAGCCACCTCCACTAGCAGCCAGACCTCCAGGCTCTTTCTCTACTCTGTGGTTTTTCTTTACTGTCTCCCCTTTTCCTTCAAGCTGTTCTAAAAGCAAAGGACATGGCCCTAGTCTAATAGAAATCCATGCTCTGTGTTTCTTTTCTAGTCGTCTCTGGGGAGCACAAGTTTGGGAATCAGTAAGTCTTTCAGGAAAACAGTCACATAATGTTTCCCTTCACTAGGTGAAATACATGCCCAGAAAGTTCCACACTGATGTGTGTGCTATTGATTTTAGACCACTTGTCAGCACACACGCACACAGAGCAGAGAATTCCCATGCCCCAGAACGGGGCTTCCTGTTGTGTGTGTGCAGGTAGACAGCCGCTGGTAACGGTCGGAGCCTACGGGGGGGAAATCATTCCCGTGTATTCCAGAGCAGACCTACGCTGATGTTTTGCTGTGTGTGGAAACTTTGAGACATGTTTTCAGAAGAAAAAAATCGCTTTCAAAAACTTACATCCTAGGAAACCATTCATCTGGGAGCTGTTAAGTTGGTCTAATGTTTATACTGACCCGAGTACTTTTACTCTATGCATTATGTTAGCTATTCCGAGAAGCCTTGAACCATCAAGATAGGGTTAGTCTTTACAAGTCACATTTTCTCTGAAGTGGCTATTGGGGACAATCGGCTGTCAGATAAATGCTTCTAAAGCAAGAATTACTGTTTAAATGAATGTGCCTTCACACACTGCCGAAGCTGCTGCTAATTTAAGAATGCAATTCTCTCGTATTCTCTAAGAGCAGAAAAGGAGCCTTTCAGGTTTATTTTAAATACATCTTTTTTATATTTACTTGAAGGCGTCTTTTTCATGAGGAAGCAGTGATAAAACTGTGGGGACTGAGTGCTGTTTCATTATACCTTTTATGGCTTATTAATTTGTTACCATCTATTCACCTTTGTTGATGAAATTTTAATTTTGCCCTTGCTTGAGCATATCTAAGGATTGTATAAACTGCTGCTCCCCGCCCTGACAAAAACGGTCCTTTTAGACTGAACAATTGGGAGCTCATTTTATTTCTAGAGCACATTTAAAATAACTTGTGAATGAGAGTTGTCAGACATGAAATGCTGTATTAATTAAATCTTTTTCTAGTCTTTTTGCTTCTCCAGCTAAACCAACCCTTTAGAAAAATACACGGCCACCTTAATTATAGAGGAGAAGACAAAAAGTATCCTTCACATTCCTCTGCCTGAATAAGAATAAGAACCCAATTCAGCTATATAATAACCCCATTAGCTGCTTAACTCAACAGTGCACATGGGAAAATTTCCGAGCCACAATGTAAAAAGTGTTGATTGGGTGGATCGTTTTCAAGGTTTTGTTCTTCTGATGTTCAAAATGATCATTTTAAGTAAATCGGATATGTGATAACTAGGAGCTTTAAAGCATTTATGACTTAGGACAAATGTTTTGTGTCTACATCAACTAATGCATCTTTGTCTTTTAATATCCAGCAACAATACCATTCAAAAATAGATGATTTGATTGACAACGCTGTAAAAGAAATCATTTCACTGCTAGTTTCAAAGGTAATGTATTATTTATTCATCTTTTTAAGTCAGACTCAAAAATCATTTTGCTGAGAATTTTTAGAAAAATCTGTCTCCTGTTTCTAAATACCTAATGGAAAAATAGTTTTACAAAGAGGTGCAAGAAAAGTTCAGATTTCAAGAAGAGTTCTGAACAAAATGTGGACACTGTTTGTCAGCAACTTTGATTTTGTGTTTACAGTTCATCTGGGCCTTTCTTGCAGCTGTTGGCTTTTAAAAATAACTCTGTCTCCCAGTAAGACCTTATTAGTTCACATTTATGTTCTCTTGCTATTTGTCTATCTGTTTGGCTGATTCAAGTTGTCACTGGTCATTGAGTGTAGCCTCTTTATGGGGATGACTATGCCGAGGCTCTAGAGCTGGTCCCAGGCAGACAGAGAAGGGTGACCGTCTGAGGTTCCCCACTCCTGGGAGGCTCTCACGGTTTCCGATCTGATGCTCCAAATATCTCTGATGAAGGTTATGGCCTGTCATTGTATAAGTAGAGATGAAGCATCGATGAGTATTCCATGGAATGATTAGACTATTTAAAATCCCACCAGGGTGGAACAGACCACCATGAGCTGACCCTCAAGATCCGGGTCTGGGGGAAAGAGACAGAAAATGGAACTCAGGAGGGTGAGGAGTCAGAACAGGCGTGGTCCAGCGACACATTCACAGGAGCAGATGGAGCCCTTGCTCTTTGCAAGGCTTGGCCAGAGAACCCCCCCAGACAGGCCTCATAAAACAATCAGAAGAACGTACAAAAAAGCAAAGGAAGAAATGCCCCCAATTTAATAAATGAAGGACATGTTATTTAGAAAAGAAAAAGCAGAGATGCCCAAGAGGCATGAAAAATGTTAAACCTCACTCATCATTTAAGGAATGAAGAAAAACTACAATTAACATACCACTTTCTCTAGCAAATTAGCATAGATGTTTTTAAACTAACACTTGGTTTTAGAAAAGGTGAGGTGGGACACTCACACTTCCTGTCTGCGGTGGTATAACTCATTACAGCCTTCCTAGAGATAGTTTGGAACTATATCAAGTACATTAACACCCTTCTACCTAACAAGTATTTTTGCATTTTTTTCCGACTCAGAGAGATGCACAGTGAGATGCACTCAGAGAGATACATTGATATGATCACATTACTTCTAATGAAAAATTGGAAATAACTTTAATATCTAACATGAAGGGAATGATAAATTGAACTATGGAACATCTATACTAAGAAACTATGCTTTCAAAGACTATTAATGATAAAGGAAAGGCTTCATAATATAATATTAAGTGAAAAAAAGGCTTAATATTTTAGAAATGGAAACTATTTCAGAAATAGAAATATTTAGAAATGCAAATCTGAATTTGCATCACATAGAGAAAAGAGAGGCTAAACACCAAAAAGTTGGCAGAGCTTCTCTGGATGGTGGGATTATACTTGATTTTGGAGTCAGGGGGATTCTTCAGGGTTTGGGAGGGTTTGTTTGTATATTTCCCAAATTCCTTGGTAGCAAGTCTTGAGATGGAAAATAGCCACAAGGAAGATTTCAGCATAACACCAGCCCACCAGTTTGTTCCCATTCTCTTGACTTCTACCCCCACAAGAATACCTGCCCCTTCACATACAACACACACCCACCAACAAGTAGAAAGGGAAAAGTTGAACAGGGAAAGCATCCAGTGGGTGGAGGAGGGGGAAACCACTGGAGAACAAAGCTCCAGAGGCAGAGCAGGGCAGGTTTCCGTCCTCCCAGGGGCCCAGCATAGCGGCTTGCCGTACTACACGGACAGCGCACTAAAGTGAGATGAAGTGAACTTGGTGCCTTCATTGTCTGTGAGTCATTCAGGGAGAGTTTACGCAGATAGGAAATGACAATAAATGGTGGGGTTTTTTTTAAATTTTATTAAACAAAGAAAATAAGGCTCTATAATTCAATTCTTAAATGTTAGCAAGCCAAAAATTACTTGAGGTCCATTTAAAATGTGGATTCCATGCCTACTTTGCAACAATTCTGAATTAGAAGTTTGAGAAGGGGAGCAGGAAGGTACATGTTTAATCAAACACCACGGTAATTTTGACGTAAGGGTTCAGTGAGTCGGACTTTGGGAAACATTGCTCTGATGAATCGCTATCCAGGCTATCATGTGAAAGATCTTTAAACTCCAGTTTATCGTATTTAAAAACAAAACAACCCTCTAAGATAGTATGTTCGCATTTTTGTTGTTGTTGGAGAAATGATATCTTAAAAGGGGATATTTATGAAGTACCAGCTGTGAAACTCCGATAGGATGGACAGTTTTACCCTAATTCACAGATACAAACATTATCCTCACAGTAGCCTACTAAACTGACCACACACCTAATTAAGTAAGATAGTCAGGAACCAAACTTCTGAGCTTCAGATTCCTAACCCAATGTACATGCCGATTCTAGATGTCTAGGAAATCAGCGGAACGCAAAATACTCTAAAAATTAAAATGGGCAACTTCTACATTTACTGTTTTACCCTGTCAGATTTCAAGAGTCATATCCTAGACATTTTTATTTTATCCTAGCATAATAATTAATTCAATATAGAGTAGAACAGTGAATTACTTGCGTTGTATCCCAAATGTTTCTTCCCACGTTTTAGTTATTCTGTGCATCATGATGAATATGTTTGTTACATTTGGTTAAGTTAGAAAGCATACTTCCTTCTTTTTACCTCCTCTCCTCAATCCCACCTCCATATCCTCTCTTATTACACACGTCTTCACAAATGATTAGAGAATAAGCCAGAGCTCTCGATCATACTTAGCACTCAGCAGTATGTGCCCCAACTGCATGCACATTTCCATGCTGAGAAAAGAACTTGTCTTTCCATCTCTGTGTCCTTTCTCCACCTAGTACCTAAATGCTGGTAGCCCTTCGGTTTCCATCTTTCATCTTCTTTTGAGCTTATTCCACAAATTTCTGTGACTTTCACACTTCTGATTTTGTGTACTAACGATTCCCAACTCTGTGCCTAAGAGGCAGAGTGGAATCGTGGTGAAAAGCCCAACTTCAGGCCTGAGGAACCTAATGTCTTCATCTCAGAACATTGGGAAGCCGTGGAAGGGTTGGGAGGCAGCAAGTAAAGGTGAGGAATTAATCATATCTGCATTATAAGAAGATCCGTCTGATTGCCTGTAGCAAATGGATTATAGAGAAGGTACTGTGGAGAGTGTTCTGTTGGTCTTTGGTGGACTAACCCAAAGACACGGAAGACGTTTAAAGAGTGCTGTAGACTGAATGTTTGTGTCTCCCCACCCAAATTCATATGTTGAAACCTAATAACCCCAAAGGTGATGGTATTAGGAGGTGGAGCCTCTGGGAGGCAATTAGGTCACGAGGATGGAACCCTCATAAATAGGATTTAATGCCCTTATTTAAAAAAAAAAAAAACAAAAAACACCCCATAGAGCTCCCTAACTCCTTCTGCCATGTAAAAATGTGGCCAGAAGCCATCATCTCTAAATCAGGAAGGGGGTTCTTACCAGACACCAAATATACCATCCTCTTGTTTGTGGACTTCCCAGCCTCCAGAACTGTGAGAAATACAAGTGTGTTTGTATGTCACCCAGACTAGGGTGTCCTATTACAGCAGCCCCAGGGTTAGTAACGGGGAGAGAAGGGAAAACCTAGCTCGCTCCCAGGTGTATGGCTGGAAGCACAATGTGCATGTTGAAGCCATCGACTGACGGGGTGCCTGGAAGAGGAACAGATTTTGAGGGAAATACCATAATGTCATACTGGACATGTGGAGAGTGAGCTGACTGATATCTGAAGGAGGGGAGGCCAAGGAGACCATCAGATAGTTGAGTCTGGAATTCAGAGGAAGTATATGGAACTGAACTATCAAGGCTATTATAAGATTTCACCATTAGGAATGATTCTATGTCACTGTCTGCTGTTCTTAGGCAGATGTGCCATAACTCGAAACCCTATGGAGAATTGAAAATCAACCTTAAAAGGGAAAAAAGTAAAGATGCTTCTAGCCAGAAAGGGACTTAGATAATTTTACCGAGGAAAGGAAATGATAGTGGGAACATTAAATCTTGCCAAGGAAAGGATACCAAAAATGCCATTTTTATCACTACCTTATAATTTAGTTGACCAAAATGTGGAATTGATGGAGGATCTGAACTCTGGTCCTGTTCTTTCATGTTACCGTCTGGGTCTCCCTACACAACTTCATTTCCTCATCAAAAAAGCATGAGTATTAAATGACAAAAAATATCTATAGCCTTTTGTCAATCTAAAACAAAAATCCTTACGTACATTTCTTTATAGAAGGCTCTGGGGACGCACATCATTTCTCCCCAGGTTCCAGAGTCCCATGGCACGTACAGTGCTAGAGTTGGAACCCTGAGATCCTCTAGCAAGGACTTTTCAAATATTTTTATAAAGCTTAGAAGACGCACTTAATGTTCTTAAATATATCTTGGGTAGCACCCTAAAGTATAACATTGATCAGTGCAAGGCTACTCCAAGTGAAGAGAGGAAGGAGGCCTAGAGCTCTGCCTGTGGGGCCTCATCTCCCAAGGCAACTCCCAGGGTAAACCAGTTTACCCCAGAGTCCAGTTCTGTGGTTCACAGATGAGGAAACAGAGGCCCTGGGTCACATGGTCAGTAGCTGTGGAGCTGGGAACCTGGCCTTCGTGGTCCCTAGGCCTGTCATCTTTCCATCACGCTACACAGAATGCAGCAAGAGTGGAGAGGAAAAGAGTGGGAGCTTCACCTCCCAGTCTTCTGGTGTCCCCTTTGTACCTGGGTTGTACCCACCAGCCCGCATGCCCCTTCTTTGACAGTCGTCCCACCGAGGCATACAGGCTGTGGTACCAGCGTGGGCAGCTGGAAGAGAATGGAATTCAATGGATATAACAGAAGGATGCTTAAGAAAAGCTGAGAGAGCTGTGAGAAAGGACAGATCAGGGGAAATGGTTGACAGCAGAGAATGAGAGCGTGGCCATTCTCATGACGCACTCCGGTTAACGGGGCTCAGGAAATTCCGGGTATGAAATAAAAGGGCATAGTCATATATTCAACCTACTAAATCCTTAATTATTGCACAAAGGGATTTTGGAAAGAGAACACACTACCTTACTGAGTTCATAGGTATAGAGGTATGTGTAAACATATACAGACATATATGTATATTCCTTCTGATAACCTAGAATATTTTCCCCTAAATTTCTCTTAAGAATAAGATGGGCAGAGGATACATCACACCTGACTACCTAGATTCCAATTCATCCTAAAGTAATTTGATTAAATTTGCTCATTTAGATCAAGGGTATATATTCAGGAGATACCTGTCCAAAACCAACTAAATGCTTAAAAGGATTATTAGGAGCCACTAGGAGAAAGGAAAGACAAAATACTATAGATCACTCTATTTGTGGGGCAGTGGAAAAAGGAACAAGGAGAAGAGTGTGGAGAATTTACCAGTGTCTAGGCTAGATGTGTCCTTTTGGAGGTTGTCTTAGATACTTTGTGGAATGAGGTATGTTACAAATAAATATTTGCTGTCAAATACTATCCATCCTTGGGCAGGGGCATGCTAATGTTCTCTGTATCACTCCAGTTTTAGTATATGTGCTGTTGAAGCAAGCATTCAAATAGTATGCATCCCAAACACATACAGAAAATCTGGAAAGACCTTTTGGAAGTCAGTTGGAACAAAGGTTCAAAGAAAAGTGAACGAGGAAGGGACAATTGCATTGTATCATAGCATTAAGATTCTGATTCAGGGAAGGAAGCCTAGTTTTTTTCCAGTCCATGGTATGCATGTGGATTTTTAACAATACTTGCTAGTTCTGATCTTACCAAATAAATATAAAACATCTGCTAATATCTCCAGCACCACTAACCCTCCCCTCCAAGAAAAAAGAGAAGGAAGGGAAAGAACTTAGTTTTTCACGATCAGTCTTATTTGGATGAATCTCTTCTCTGTGGAAGATGTTACAACTTGCAGTATAAATGAGGCAAATATCCCTTCGTGAAGTGTCACCACTGAAAAAGCAGGAACTGTGTTTGGAACCCACCGATCTATAGCTGGAATCCTCCCAGTAACGTTTTAGAATTTGTGGTCTACTTTCCATACATGTGGGAAAATGAATCTTATACCCTGTTAAAATTCAACAGGAAATTGAAACCGCCATGCCTTGTGGCATACTGCATGTTTCATTCTACTCATCATTTCAAAGTGCTTTTCATCTTTAATTTCCTTGGGAGTGTGCATAGTGGGGTAAAGTTGGTAATTACCCAGACAGACTTTAGGTGTTAAATATTATTCAAACAAACCCAGTAAATGGCATCTACAGTAAAGAGCAGGGAAACAAAGAGATTACAGTGTTTCATTCCAACCTGACACCCTCAGGAGAACAGAGAGCACAAGGCAAACCCCTAAGTATTTATATCCTCCCTGAGCTGTACTGAGAAAGTTCACAGGAAGCAGTTAAAGACACAACAACTAAACCCAGCGTTTAACTGGATTTCTTTGGAATCTTGCTGTTTTGTGCAATTAACAGCCAGATGGAAAATATATCATTATTAGTCAATCTTGACTTTAATAGAGTTTGGTTTTTAAGACCACTCTTCTGCCACGTGTGCCTGGGAGAAATCTCACAAAGACAGTCTTCCTGAAGGAATGGTATGGCTCAGCTGCTTGATCCCAGGGGTACAGACACAGTTCACTGCCATGTAAGCACAGGGTCCCCCCCGGGTTATGCCTCCCCAGGGACCTTGTGGGGTGGGGAGGGACTCAAGGAGAGGCTCTCCGCTACTGTTAAAATGGAGGCAAAGAATGTTGTGACACAGGGGCAGCAGCCCACCGGTCCTTGTGTAGGACCTACATGGATACAACCCGGAGCTGGTAGGTGCTCGCAAGAGAAGGTGAGCCAGACGGGCTGCGGCTGCTACTGTGGGGGACTTTTGCCCTAAAGCCGCCCACCAGTAGGCTCCCCTGAGTGTCCCTTTATCCCCTCCATTTCTGCCATCCTGAAGCCCATCAGCTCCTGGGCCACCTGGGAGCTTACCAACATGTCCAGTTAGAAGTCATGCCTTCCCTACTCGCATTTCAGTCACCCTGTTTGCCCATCTTTACTGGCCCTTCAAACTTGCTTCCTGTCATGACCGGTAGCGTACATGTCTGTCTCTCTCGCTCGTTTGCGTGTTCCTGGAAGGAAAGATCGAAGATTCGTATTGTCTTCCTTTCCCACATTAGGGCCTCAATAATAACAAAATGACATTACTGAGTACAAATAGGTTGGGCACATGACTCACTTCATTTGATGCTTACAACTGTGTCCCCCTAATGGTAAAGAACATGAGCTTTGGAGCCAGACCCCCCGTGTTCAAAGCCACCTTCCCGTGCTGTGAACCCCACAGCCCTGAAGCAGGTGGAACTTGAATGCAGGTCTTTGATTTACATCTTCAACTCTCTTCTACCTCAGTAGGTTTCTTTTATTGAACTAGACCCATTCGCCAGTAGCCAAACTCATTATTACTCCTCATCACTAAGCAATCCCAAGGCTTTCCCCACGAATTTGTGACTTAACATACATAGATTGTTAGACCTATATAATGGATAGTGATTTAGCTAATCATATGGGTAATAGTAATTCTTCACATTTCTTTAGTATTTTGCCGTTTTCACAGTCCTTTCACACAAATCCTCCCAACTGAGCTTCACTGATCCCTGGTAAGACAGATAGGATGGCTGTCGTTTTCCCCCTTCGACGGATGAATGTGCTAACACGAAAGAAGCTCAAGGTTTCACCATCGCCCTGGGGCCAGAGATTCAGATTGTCAGGTCAGGGCTGCGATTGAACTAAGACCCTCTAACTCCAGCCACAGGGTTCTGGCCTCTACCTTGCCTGGTCCCTCAGCACCACTTACGTGTGTACACACATACTCACTTGAGGGCACCAAGATCCAGGTGCTGTGCTAGAGCCTTCCCTGGCTCAGGTAGTCTGGTAACCATAGCAATTGTCTCTCTCCTCGTGGCAAATGAGATCACCCAGCACACACTGACTCTCAAGGTTTGAGTTAGAAGAGATGAGGCATTTTCCACAGAGGGCCATTAAGTTTGGAATTCCCTTCCTCTGGTCTGACCTAGCCCTAGGGTATTGGTCTTCTGGGTCTTCGCAAACCACATCAAGTTGAGTTAGCCAGCTGTGACTGGTAAGAAATCCTAATGGGCAGGAAGAAAGCGCTAAATTGACTTTTAGTTGTGAGCAATTTGTAATTTTGTGGTTTTTGCTGTTTGTATCCCTTAGGATAACTAACGAGCCACACATAGTTTTCATTCTTTAAAAATACGATTTTAGTCAGCCGTTCGCGTGCTTTTGTTTCTGTGTTCTTACATCATTTCGCACATGATGTGATGGAGAAACCTATAGGGAAGTTTTTGTTTCTTTTGCATAAACTATTTTGCAGTAATTGACCAGCCACAGAGAAAAGATTATCTCCTGTGCACTCTCAGTGAGTTCTCTGGTCACCAGAGACCAATAAGCTCTGTCCCTGGAACTATTATCACTTTGTTGAAGAAGCTGCTATGTGAACAAAAACCAGCCTTCGTTAATTTCCCTTTTCGTATTTAAAAAACCTTGTCAGTATTTTCCCTTTGGGAGTATGTAATTTGTCAATAGTGCGTATTATTTTAGTTCTAAAGAGGAAAGATACACAGCAGTAGATTCCTACTAATTTCTTAGTGCCAGATCTTAGTGTTTCCACTCAATGAAATATAATTCTCCACATTTTTAATCATATTATGATATACACATCTTAATTTTAACTGCAGAGAAATATAAAATTGTAGAAATGTAAAACACGGGGCTCCTGGGTGAGTCAGTGGGTTAAAGGCTCTGCCTTCGACTCAGGTCGTGATCCCCGGGTCCTGGGATAGAGCCCCACATTGGGCTCTCTGCTCAGTGGGGAGCCTGCTTCCTCCTCTCTCTCTGCCTATGTCTCTCTCTATGCCTATATTTTAAAAAAAAATATTTTTTAAAAAGAAATGTAAAACACTTGTGAGACAAATTTTAATTCCATGCCACTTGCAGTACACACACACGCACACATACACACACACACACACACACACACACTATTTAACTGATAGAAGAACTGATTGGTGCTGTGGTTGGCCTGAGCCCACATAGTAGTGTGGAATCAGGAGCTTATATTAAGCTCACTCTAGTGCTCTTTCCATCATAGCCTACAGAGTGTTCGTATGTTTTAGATCTCCAAGTGCTTCGTAAGCCTCTGAAAGCAGATTTGATCCTTGTATGTCCTCATTAGAACTGCTCGATAAGTGCCTGTTAACTAATGTGGGATTTGGTCGCAGGGTCACAGGAGCCTCGGATATTACACATTCCTTCCATTATCTGGTCATTTTGATTCAGCCTCTCCTGTAGACAGAAAAAGTTGGGGAGTGGTCAAGTGATCTTTGATAGAAAGGAATCTGATTACACTTGACCATCATTGCTTCTAGACATCTCTACTGAAGTTGAAAGTTGTTTTAAGGAATAGTCTCAGGAATTTCAAGTTATTTATCAGTGGTTTAAATTATCTCACATGTTTGGTAACCAGGCACCTATAACATGTTATTCTTTTATCTTAAAAAACAAACAAACAAAAACACTTTGTCTATTATTTCCAGCAATGGAAAAGGACCTTAGAGCCCACCTTCAAAATGAAAGAGTAAACATTACAAGTCAGCCCCTTGACTATCAGTTTATTCATTGTGGCTTTTTGTGCTGTGGAAGGAGTTGGTCCAGAAATTATGTGCCCTGTTATTAATTTTTTAATAGACTACTCACTATAAACAATTACAGTTTGTTTCAGTGTTGGAAGGGGTGTTATCTAAGCTGTCAAGATATGATGAAGGCACTTTCTTTTCATCCATTCTGTCATTCACTGTAAGTATTTGCATGAGGTTCTCTTCTGTTGTCTTTTGACTGTTGTCAAAGTACTTATCTAACAGTTAAGAAAATAATTCTCATAATTATCTCTTTTCCACTTAAGGTGAAAGCAGCTGCAAAATATGTGGATGTTCCAGTAAGTATTTTTTTATTTGCTTTTAAAAACTATGTGTGTGTGTGTGTGTATGTATAATTCTTTTTTAAATAATTATGGTTTACCAAAGGTTTATTTCAGATCTTTAAAGCAGTGAGTTCCATTCCCTCAGGGAGCAGTTTATTTTCCTTAAGCAAGTGCTAACCCTCATAAGAAGGCCTGACGTGATCATTTCAGTGTACTTTTTCCATTTTAGCTTGGGAACTCTTATGGAGGTAAAGTCATTATGAGAACATGTCAGCTCAGTTGCAGAGGGTAGTTTTTTCTAATACTCTAGGACCGGGTAGTGACTGCCTTGTACCATTTATAGAAAAATGCTCACTCTCTCTTCCCTTTGTATGGAAGCAGTAGCAGGTTTCTAATAGGAGTTAAAGTGACAAAAAAGATGAACCAGTTAAAAAACAACTTTTCTAAATACAGAAGTGTTATAAGTCAATATTCACTTGTCTTAGCATTTGGTGTTTTGCACAGTTCTTGGGAAATAATTTGTAACCTGTAAATCTGTTCAAAGATTAAGATACCATGAGCTACAATTAGAAAATTCACAGGATAGGGGCACCTGGGTGGCTCAGTGGGTTAAAGTCTCTGCCTTCAGCTCAGGTCATGATCCCAGAGTCCTGGGATAGAGCCCGGCATCAGGCTCTCTGCTCGGCAGGGAGACTGCTTCCTCCTCTCTCTCTGCCTGCCTCTCTGCCTACTTGTGATCTTTGCATATCAAATAAATAAACAAAATCTTAAAAAAAAAAAAAAAAGAAAATTCACAGGATAAATGTAATCAGCAAGTTAGTGCAGTCTTTTAAATTGGTAATCTTCACAAATTACTTTTGCCTTCTTCCTCTTATCACATTATGTGATCAAGTCCTAGTATGTTCTGTTTAACCATATATCTTGGCATATGTATCACTTTTCAAAGAATTTGAGCACAAGGAAAATGAAACCTACAAATTAAAATTAAATGGGAGGGCGCCTGGGTGGCTCAGTGGGTTGAGCCGCTGCCTTCGGCTCGGGTCATGATCTCAGGGTCCTGGGATCGAGTCCCGCGTCGGGCTCTCTGCTCGGCAGGGAGCCTGCTTCCCTCTCTCTCTCTCTCTCCCTCTCTCTCTGCCTGCCTCTCTACTTGTGATCTCTCTCTGTCAAATAAATAAAATCTTTAAAAAAAAAATTTAAAAAATAAATAAATAAATAAATAAAATTAAATGGGATATAAGTCATCTCATCTTTGCTTAAGACTGTGCTTGGGTAGCATCCTATCTCGACTGTCATTGTGAATGCCAGTGGTTTAAGGGCTGGCCAGCTATGTATAGCAGTTCTAGAGTGCTAGAGTTTTAAAGTGCAGAACCACATTTTATACTATGAACTAAATAGTCCCCAGATTTATTGCTGCCATAATTATTGTAAATAGATTTTTTAATCTTTTTTCACCATGATAAATGTACTCATTAATCCCTATATCCTCACCCACCTCCCCTCTGGTAACCATCCATTTGTTCCCTATAGTTAAGAGTATAAATGGATATTTTAAATGAAAAGGCCATGGACTTTTCTGCCTTTGCATCGGGTTTCTTTGGAACAAGGCTTTTTTATTTCACAGATGATTCCCAAAGAAGTGTTGGTATACTCCTTGTCTTCTACCTAGAATCAGAAAATCAGCACTGGGTGATAAACAGAAATAATCCCAGGTGTAGGGTCTTGCAAAAATGACAGCAGAAAAGAGAGGGAGGGAAGATTAAGGAGAGTTTGTATTTCCTGTCTTAGAAAGAGACAGATCATCATAGGAACACATGAAATTCGTTGGAATTCCTAACATATTTTACAATACAGCTTTGTTTTTATTTTGAAATACAAGTAGAATGGGACACCATAAATATTTCTGTTCTTAGGGTTTTTGAAGTTTTGGGATTTTTTTTAAAAAGATTTTTTTACATCTTTTTTAGAGGGAGGGAGCACAAAAGGGAGGGGCAGAGGGAGATGGGGAAAGAATCTCAAGCAGACTCCACACTGAGTGGAGGACCTTGACTCAGAGCTCAGTCTCATGAGCCCTGAGATCCTTACCTGAGCCAAATCCAAGAGTTGGATGTTTAACCAACTGCACCACCCAGGCGCTCCAGGGCTTTTGAAGTTCTTAATTTGACCCTGTACTAGACCTCTTACACCTTATAGAGCTTCAGAGTTGAAAGATATAGAAAGTGGTTCATTCATTCTCCTTTTCAATGCAGAAAGTGCCTCTCTTGATATCTCTTACAAAGATTCATTCAGGCTTTTTTAATTTTCTCAGTGATTGCAGGCTTACCTCATTTTACGTACAATGAGTTGAAATTCTGTACCTCTGTGAATTCTACCTTGGTTCTAATCCCTCTTCTGCATGACAGCCCTCCAAATATTTGATGATAATTAATCATGCCTCCTCTTCCCAAAGGATGTGGTGGCTATTGAAAGGAATATATTGTCTGAGGAATTCTTATTTTCTATATTAGACATCTTCAATTTCTTCACTGAACTCACTAATTAAATATTTATTTAACACTAAGTGCTAGGTCCCGAGCTTACATGATGAAACTATACATTGCCCACAAGCCAATCAGTGTCCAGGATAAAAGAGAGACAGAAAGGAGATTTGGATTTTTAAAAAATTGAATTCTATTGCAAATGTGTTGAATAACGTCACTGAAAAAGATGGAGGAAAAAGTGCTGATTTGAGTGACTTTGGAAATGACTGGAGTTTATAATAATAAAGGAGAAAGAAACTGAACATAAGCTTGGTGGCCTAGTTGATAAAGCGTTTCCCCACAGGCTAACAATTCAGAAACCACTACACCTCTCCACTGGAAGTGAAGGATTAAGTACAGGGATGGTGTTTGGTGAAAGCCAAGTTTCTCCCTGTTGGAGTAAGAGCTTGGAGACAAGGAGGAGGATAGAACAGTCTGTGTGGTAATGGGTTAGAGTTGGAGACATTAGTGTGAACTTGTCTTGAACTTAACGTAGAGCTGTTTACATGTAGAAATAGTAATATATGCATATATTTCCTTGGCTTGTTAACTGAGAGAGCCCAGAAGCAACGATACCCCAGTAGCAGTCACCATACCTAGCGCCCAGCCCTTAGTATCTGATCTCACATAAAGTGAACCAGGACTCTCTGGAGAAATGGCAGATACTAGGACTGGGTCAGGAAATACACAAGATGAGCCTAGAGCATCTTATAGTGACAGAAAGTAAGGAAGTGTTTAAAAAAAAAACAAACCCACAACAATAGGGGTATATTAAGAGACACAGGAGGCCTCTGAAAGAGCTCCCAATGGCCTGAGCTAGGATCATTTGAACAAGTAAGTAAATTAGGTAGTGTTAGATTATAACCCAAAGTATAAAATAAACATCCATTAGTTCACACTCACACAAGTAAATGTTGGATTGAGCAAACACATGATGAGAAAGATAAACCTCCCTTACAGAAGAGTTCCCAATAGTTAGTGTAGATACTTTACTTGCAAGGAGACAGCTTAACTCCCCACCACAAAGGCTGTGCACAGTGACTTCCTATAAGAAGGAGGGTGGGACCGGGGTAGGGACAATGGGGGAGGTGATAAGTTATCAGGGAGAAACCTGATGAATACTCCCTCAGGCAACTGATTGAGGTCAAAAGCAAGAGTGATAAATTATGTTCATAGTGTTTCCTTTTAATACTCTGTGGTTTCTTCCAAAAAACCTCTAACTCTGGCCTAATCATGATAGGTGTTGCTCCTTTTGTCCACAGTATTTCTTCCCTAGTTCCTCAACTTCTCATCGTTTTCCAGCTGACATATTTGGTCTCTGCTGTCTCTTGCATGGAACAGGACAGACATTAAGAATTCACAGAATGAGGGGCGCCTGGATGGCTCAGTGGGTTAAAGCCTCTGCCTTCGGCTCAGGTCGTGATCCCGGAGTCCTGGGATCGAGCCCCGCATCGGGCTCTCTGCTCAGCAGGGAGGCTGCTTCCCTTCCTCTCTCTGCCTGCCTTTCTGCCTACTTGTGCTGTCTGTCAAAAAAAAAAAAAAAAAAAAATTAAAGAATTCACAGCATGATAAAATGTCACAGTTAGCAGGTCTCCTGCAGTTTCTGTAACATACCCATTCTGTGGATGACTAAATTATAGGTCATGTTAGTTATGGGGCATGTTTGGGGGTGAGGTATAGGTGTACAGTGCCTAATGAAAATTGTCTTAACATTAGCACACACAATGCATATGACCTCTGCGCTAGACAGTGAGATGACACAGCTAAAGAGACCTGGAGGGCATGTCAAGGATGACTGTGACCAAGACCAAAGAGGAAGCAAAGGGGAAACACTCCACTGTTGTGCTTTCCAGTGCTGATACCCAAGCCTGGTTGTCTGTCCTGAGAAATGGGGATGATTTTTCGCTTGTCTTCATTAATAGTTCTTTAAAATGTTGTCTCTTCTTTATGACACAGCCAAAGATGTCTAATCTGCCAAGTGTGGCTTGAATTCAGCTCTGTACTGTACAGACTTGCTGTGGAGTCCAAGATTTAGTTCACATCCCACCCTTTGCATCCTATTAGCTGTCTGACTCATGGGCTTCCATTTTCCCACCCGTGCACTGAAGATAATGGATAATCCCTGTGCTGTCTCCCTCACTAGGTTCTTAGGAGTTCCAACAGGCATGTTAATATAGAAGTTCATGGTAAAGGTAAAGCACTATTGAAATAAATGGGATTGTTACTGCTTCTACCTGGAATGATGCTTCCTGTTCTCATACGTTGTGCATTTATCATTCCTTGCTTCAGAACATGATTGTTTTCCAAAAGAAAAATCATTTGCCTTCAACAGAGTGAAAAAAATCAGATTATTTTTCATTTATTTTTTTCACTTTGCATAGATTTGTGGTGACTTTTTTTTTTTTTCCAAGATTTATTTATTTATTTCAGTGAGAGAGGGAGAGCGTGCTGGGGGGAGGAGGAAAGGATGAGGGAGAGAGAAACCCAAGCAGACTC